AACATAAAAATTTAGGGTTCGAATCATGAATGATATAGTTAACAACATAAATAGTTTGAGTATCAAATGAGCATTTGAAGGAAAACATTTACAAGCAGTATAAAATTAAATATTTACCTGGAAATGATACAGTAGCGATTTAATGTTTGAATAGCAGCTCTAATAACTCTGAACAGCAACGTTCTTTTCTCCCGGTCAAGAAATTCAGTCAATTTGATTGGTAAAGGAAAGATGCGTACTCATGCAAATTAAGAAAACACGTGCTGTACCTAAAAGAATTCTTAGGAGTCGGGGGTTAAGAACCAGTTTTACTCTTCCCTCAACTAGGAGGGGGAGGGAGTGTTACTTCCGCGTCATTGTAAATAGTCTGAGAATAAAATAATAAAGAAAAGAGGATACCCTTTTACTTTTACTAAAAATTTGTTTTGGAAAAGTATGCGTTTGAGGAGAGGAGTACGTAGAGTTTGTTTAAAATACATTATTATCAAAATGATAATATTGTATCTAATAAAAAGAGATTAACTGAAAACTGCCGAGATCTGTACTTGGGTATTAATAAAGCATGATTTCGTTTGAGAAAATTACTTGAATGTTTCTCATCTAGTTTTTATGATATATTTTAATTTGTATAAACTGCTTTACTTATTCTTTTGCTTTGTGAAGTACTTAAATCAAACACTTTTTAACCCAACTCATGAAAAATTCTTTAATTTGTACAAAGAATTTTGTTTTATTTGAAAACTATGTAGGCTCAGTGGTTCTTACTTCTTCTGTGTCGCGAATTATGTAATGCGTTAAAATTTTTGTAATAAAAATAAAATTAAATTGAAAGAAAATTTTTAATTTTCGGTTTTAAGGTTGACTACCGCAATAGTGTACTCGTTTTAGTACATAAATGTTCGGCTTTTTCCTAATGAAACGAAGCAATGTGTTATAAAAAGGGCGACTCACTTAACAGTTTTGTTTGCTTTTTTTCATCTACAAAATTAAAGTATCTATACCTGAATGCAGAAAAGTTTATAAAATTATTAATTTAAAGTTAAAGGAAATTAATTGTACTTAATTTTGAAATGATATATTAAAATATATTTTTCACTACTATTTTTTAAGACCCAGCAGATAATAAAATTAAGATAACTCTCATGTTAAAACATCATCCTCTAACTCGTTGTTACAAGTATTTTTGAAGAATCCAATTCAAAAGCTAGAGTAAGTATATAATTTTGTTAGCCAGGACCTCTCGAACCAGTTAGATATATAGATTTTTTTTATTTTACTTGTTTTTTGTTTTGCTCGTAAACTTATTAATGTGTACATTTGAAAGTATATGCTACCTTTTATTCATTTACTAAAGTACCACCTGTGATTGTTAAAAATTGTAAAGGTCTCTGATAAAATGCTTGTTCTTTGATTTTTGTCAATTGTAATTTAATGGTAACTATACCTTAGTTCTGTTTAAAAAGTTTTGAAACAAAATTCTTGTCTTAGAATTGCAGTACTAATTCAAATGATAAAGATAGCTTTAACAAAAAAAAATAAAAATCTAGTATAACGGTTTATAACTGATAACAAGTAAAAAACTAGTCCATAGTATTGTTATTACACATTGTTTTATAAAATATACGGAGCACACATTTAAGAAATGAAGCTATTTCTGTTTTATATTTCATTTAAACTGTGATTTTATGAATTATTATTTTGTTTAGACATTGTAAAAGTATTAATTTCACATTATGTTGTATTTTCTTTTAATCCTGAAATGACTACTGTGTTATTTTAAAGTTACTTACTTTTTTTTTTAAATAAAAATTTTTGTATATATTAAAAGGTATTAAATTTTTGAAAGTTCATAATTTAATTTTTCAGTTGTATTTTTTTAGATCTATTGAAACTCCAAGAGAATGTAGAAAAAGACATTAAGATTTATTCGTCGTGAATCATGAAAAATAAGTTTTCACATTTTTCAATAACATCAGAAATATAAAATAAACCTTTGAATATACCTTTAGGATCAAGTTAATTGTCCCCGGTTTAGTAAAACCCTTGCGCACTTTAATTCTTAAGTAAAATATGGTCTGAAATATTCGGAGATGTAATGACTATATACACGCTATATTACATAGTTACGTGAGTGAAAGAAAATTCAAAATGATATCGAGGCTGTAATATTTATTTACTGTTGGGGATACGCAGAAAGAAGATTGAAAGACCCAAAACAATTTATACAAAATTATTGTTAGTTAGACTATTAATATTTATAATATAAATCTTTTTCTAGAGCAGAGTAAATGTTTTACAGCATTCCTAATATGAAAGAATAAAAAACAGTGTCATACATTATTTTAAATTTTATTTGATATTACCAATATTTGGAATGATGACGAAATATGAATGGTGTAAAAATATTTAAATAAATAAGAAGAGTAACAAGGAATCACACTACTTCCGTTTCATACACCGAAAATAGTGGAAAAGTAATAAGTATAGTTGCGTGATCTATTTTTGGCGCACCCTTTAAATATTGAGTTTTGCCAAAAAATGTAACCCGGACTTCCATGGTCGTTCAGTATATCTCCACCCCCTATGTCCACGCCTATTCCTCCCACCCATAGCTCCTTCAATTTCACTCGTCTTTCAGCGTAGAAAGGGCCTTAAGTGCTAATGCTGAATAAAAGACGCGTTTTTATGTCAGGAACCATTCTCATTGCATACGAAAAATTAATACTCTAATAAGAATTTGATCTTGAGAAGGAGCATTCATGCGATTGCCCTAGATTCGAGAGTGAATGTTAAGAAATTATACATGTAAGATGAACAGCTCTCACAAGAGCAAATTGGATTGACGTACGATCTCATGCATTGTGAAAATGTCTTTTTAAAATAATTATGCCTAAAGCGCGAACTAATCAGTGCAGCTACTCTCTGAGCAGCCCTTACGTATGCATGCATTTCCCAAAATCAGTTTTTTTGCACATAGTTTCTCAACATTCGCAGATGCATTTCGTATATCAGAATGTTACACAAACATTCAGGTTTCTCCAACAATTCACAACATAACAAAGAAAGAAAAAAAGGGATAAACTTTTTTATTCTGAGATCATTTGGAAGAAAAATTCAGAGGCAAGATGGATCAATATTGCACCACTTAAGTTTTTATTAACTAATATATATAAAAAAAAGAGGAAAAGCTGGTTCTAATTAAGTGTCAGTGCTAAAAAAAAATTTTTTTTAAACACCTACATTTTTTTGTATCACTTTATGCATCTGAATTACATATCAAAGATATATATATCTGCAAATTTAATGTCGTGCTTGTAATACTTGTACTTGAATAATAATAAAAAAAATCTTAAATATCGATGTTCAAATTCAGAAAACCACAATACCTCTGTCACTGTTATATTAGGCTCATTTTTTTAAATTCTTTAATTCATATAGGCTTCCCCCAAAACACTGGAAGGTTTAAGCTTTTGCATGGTACTTTATTCTTTTCTTAACTTGCTAGTAGAAACTAGGCATAATAGATGAAGTACACAATCCTGTACAAAAGCCAATTTACATAATTCTGCATGAAGTCTTCAAATACATCAAAATTTTTATAACTATATTTATTAATTATTAATTAAACTATATTTCAAAATTTTTATAAATTTAGTATCTTAATGTTTGCCACCAAGAAGAAAAATCCATATTAAAAATGAAATTACCAAATATTGATAAAATGAAAATTTAATTAAAAAATAAATATTTACATGTAATTTCTAATCATGTTGATATGATGTAGTAGTTTATTTACGTCACACTAGAGATAAATTAGGAAAATTTCAAATAAAAATTGAAGCTTACATAATATTTAAATTGCCTCTTATGTTGTATTATACTTTATGATTTTGTCAAACATGTAAATAAAATGGCGCTTTCATATACAAGGGACTGGCAGTACATGCAAGTAAATACCACGCTTTTTGCGTAATTCGAGACAAAAATCAACATGGTAAAGAAAAAGAAAAAAAAATTCTATTGGAAAAGGGAAAATTAAGCACTTTTTAAAGACCCATCGTAAAAAGAACAGTAAAGGGATTTTAGAAAATCAAAATAAAAAATAAGCACCCTTTAAAAACGATACACACCCTGACTGATGTTAACAAAGAAAAATTCAAATTTCAGGCACTGATAACTGAATTGAATAATTTTCTTTCATTCCATATAGCTGATAAAAATTTGATGAATTTTTTTTAGCTACGTAATACGGAATGCAATTTTAAAATTGAATAATGACTTAAAATTAAGAGAGCGCAAAAAAAAAATTTATGTAGGAAAAAAAATAGAATATATTTATAACACTAAGATATTTTTTATGCCAGGAATTAAAATTTATTTAATAAATTAGAATTATAAAAGAAATTTTAATTCCTCGCAAATGTAAAATCAAATAGCAGAAATGACCTACGACTTCCTTCAGGAATGAGCATTGTGATTATAACACATATTAAACGTTTATTGCATTATTCAACTAAATGAAATAAGATAAAATGGATAATTTTAATTGATTAAAAAATCACAAGACAGTTATTTTATATTGTATTGCAAAGTGCATTGTTATGAAAACTTTTTTGGAAATACATTATTTTTTGGTAAATAAAGACAAATTACTAAAGTACTTATGAGTAATAAAAATTTTATTAAATTCTTTGGCTTAAAGAATTTAGGGCTTTTTTTTTCATATAAAGTAATTATTGCAAATCTATTTTGTATAAAGTTGAAATAAACCCTTGCAGAAAAAATTGACAACATAGTTAATAACAATTCTTTAAAAATAATATAGCATTTAATAAATAATGAATAGCAGATTTATTAATAAAAAGATATTAAAACATTTGTATAAACACAGTAGTTACAAAAAGAAAATATGCGATAAACTTAACATTTGATAAGCAGATCAATACAGATCATTGCAAAAAGGAGTTTTTTTTTTTTTTTTTTTAACAATATGAAACCCATGAGAATAAAATTATTTATTGAAAAATTTGCTATAAATTCATGATACAAAAGACTTTATAAAACATTGATTTTGAATGTACTAATTTATTTATTCATCAGCAAGTGTTCCTCTGATTTCTCCTTGTGCTATTTGCTGCAAATAAAACATATATAAATTTTAAGCAAAAAAAAACTATACATACATAAAAATTTTTATAACATTGCATTTGAGAAACATACATTAACTGGTTAAAATAAATACTTAAAATTGAATCATGTGGTCTCTGTTAATCCTAAATATAATTTATTAGGACTTTTCCGCTTCTTATTAAGTTAACTTGAAGAGTGTTGAAGTATTGAAGAAAATAAGAGTATGTAGTTTTGCACTAAAGAACTATGGCTGTTCTGATTTTAGCAATTTGTATTACAATATTTGAGGAAAATTGTAGGGCAGAAGAAAATAGTAAACAAAAATTAAAAATCAAGAGCTTTATTAGCAATAAAAAAAAAGTTAGGCTTATTTTAACACTTTTTTTTTTCATTTCACTGGTAAGTTTTGAAAATAATTGGATCCTTAAATATTTTGTCATAATAAGCAACTTTCAAGAGAAAAATCTGAAGAAAATAAAGTTTGAATATAGAATAATCTATGAGATTCGCTTTAGTGATTACAATAGTAAGAATAAGAAAAAAATTTTAAATATTTTATTCCTTAAGACAAAATGATGTTTAATGAAGAAACATTTAGTCAAAAAATTTTACAAACTAACAAACAATTATTATTTAATTAAAAGAGTAATATAGTTTTAAGGCTAAGGTACTTTTAGCTTAACTACAAATCATTTTGAACTTTCTGGGCATGATTAATTGTTTGTTTTTAATATCCCTGAGTGTCAAAACTAGTTCAAATAAAATTCTCCACCAGGTATGGCAGTGAAACAAAGAAGCAACTGATTTATTCATCAGGATTTCGCTTTGCTTACAATTTGAATACCTTCACAGAATAAAAAAAGCCTCATTTTTAATGAATATCATTCAAAGTAGGAAAGGAAATAAACAAATATACTTTATTCAATTTTAATTGAAGTGTACATGTTTGACATTCATTAGAAAGAAAGTATTATACCTTTAGTTTGCTTTAATATAATGACTTTTGTTTAAGATATTACATTTAAGTCTAATCAATATTATTTTTTGTTAGATTTCTAGTTCCTTCTGTTAGGCAGCAGAAATAAGCTGAATGTAAACTAGTTTTAAAATAAGATAGAAATGACTTGCATAAACATGAAAACGAGAGATAAAATGATTTCCATTTTTTAATAAATAAGCGAGGTTGTCTCAAATGAAGCCTTTAGATATAAATAAGAAATTATAATCTTTTTTTAAAATTAAGCAAATATCATATAAAATTTAATATTAGATAATTTTATTAGGCATTAGGCAACAGTTTGAATGTTTAATCTTATTTTAGGTAATTTATTGTTTAAGTAAGCACATTTCAAATTTTAGCAATTTTAACAAATTCTCAAAAGTGCTAAAATTTCACTTTTTTTTTACTAATATTTTAAATTGAAGATTTGACTTCAAAAATAGAAAAAAAAAATTTTTTTCTCTTCCAAATGTCTTTTTATGCAAGGTCATTGACCACATTAAATATGTGTTCAATCACATTTTATTGCACTTTTTTCTGTCAATATATAAGATTATTATTAACCTCATTTTATTAATAAGTTTAATCTAACATCTTAAAACAAGGTTTCTTAAAAAGAAAATTAATTCTCAAAATAAAACTTCGAACTTCGGGTCTAATAATACATAAGCAAGCAAGGTCCCATTGCATTTTATAATCAAACTAAAATGATCTTATGTGATAAAAAGCAAGAAAAGTAAATGTTATTATAAACAATATATTAAAAAAAATCAGAAGGTAACAAAACTAAAAGAATGTGTGTCCACTAAAAGAATGTGATTAATAGAAAGCTGAAAAGGTCATTCATGTTAATTGTAGGAAAACAATTTTCTGAATGTTTTAAAATATTAAGTTTTATTTTTAATTATGCTAAAACACGACTTTTAAAATTGAGATAAACAAAAGAACAATGTTAGCAATGAAGTAAAATTTATGTCGTTCACATATTAAGCTAAGTGAAACTGCTTAGGGTTGCTGAGCTTGCCCTAATAATTGGAAATCATAGCTTATATTTTAAAAACTCTAAAAGCAAAAGAAATATTTTGAAAAATACATTCATTGTTTTGCTTTAAAATAAAATACTTACAGCTTGTAGCTCTCTTTTTGTCTCATCTTCCATCCTTCGAATATCAGCCATTGTTAAGCCATACCATTGATCTATCCAACAAAATACTTCTCTATGGAACTTTAAGAACAGCCTCTGTTCAGTCTGAAAGAGTTGAATGAAAAGAAAATCCATAAGGATAAAGTGGTTCAGAACCAACATGAAAGAAAAAAAATTCAATAGAACTTTAAAAATAATGAAAATTTTACATGAACTACTGAGTGAGTACTAAAGTATTCACTCAGTGAATTTCAGATATTCCCATTAGGACTAAATCACATTTTTTAAAACAATTTACAGTACACATAACTAATTCTGCATTCAATTATACAGGTACAAGCTTTAAAGTTTAGAGCCACTTTGCATAAAAGTTGAATCAGTAACCATGGATCAGGGAATTGATATTATTTCTGTTATATTTAAGGCTCTTTTTCCCACAAATTTCATACTTGTCTAGTTTTGGCAAAGATACATGTTGATTTTTTTTAGAAACTATCCATTAGTTTGTATACACAGAAATACATACTTTCACGGTTCAGTGTTGACACAAGTAGATTTTGAAGTTCCAAGTCTAAAATAACAGCCTTAATTTGAAGATTTTTTAAAGTTCTTTGACTTTCAACACGAATGTCCAATGGGAGTATTTGTCTCAAAAGTTAGCGTGGAAAAAGTACTGTAATTTCCTGCGAATAATCTACAGATTACCTGTTAAAAAAACACAGGAATCGTCCCTTTGGATAATCTGCCAAAATTACTTTCTCCTATTGAAACATCACAAATTTTCTATAGACTTTGGCCAGCCATAAAAGTGTAAGGGACCATTTACATTGGATGTGAAAAATTCATTTATGTGAATTCAGATGAGCGAACCTTATTTGTGAAACATATTTATTGGCAAAAAATTTGCCAAACAAGTTTTTGTTTTGCATCTCTGAATTTGCATATGTGATCTTTTATCATCCAGTGTGAATACCCCTTAAACACGATAGAGTCTGCTTGCTTGTTTTCCTGACAATGTAAATAGGGTCATATATGAGATAGATTTGCTCGCATATGACAGATTCTGTCAGTTAGAGATGCTTTGAAATTTGTTATTTATCTTGTGGATCTGGCAACAAGTATTTATGGAAATCTTTTTAAATAATTTAAAAATTATCATTACAAAGATCCATACATAACATTATTATTTTTTGAAGTATATATTAAAGTTATATTGTGCATTTAGTTTATTTCGATTATAAATAAAAGTAGATTACTACGTACAGGTATGCTCAATTTTTTTCTTACTTCTAAAAATAATCTTAAACAATTCAAAGTATCGATTATAAGCAAAATTACAAATAACTTAATATTTTCTGAAATAATTAACTTCTTAGAAAAATGATATACTTTGCCACTTTATCAAGTTATTTTTTTTATTAATGCCAAAAAACTTTTAGCCAATAAAACACGCTTAAAGCTATTTCTAGAAAACAATTTTGAAAACTAGAAATATATACATATATATCTTTAAAAGAGGTGACCAGTAAAGAATTTGCACAACTTTGATTCCTAGGCTTTTTCTAAAAGAAAAAAAATTTGCTTGATACAGCTAATATGATAATGAGTTTCAATAAATAAGGTAAAGCTAAAGGAACAACATAAACTCAAATTCACACAGCACATTTCAAAAAGCATAACTGTGACCAGAAAATTAAATTTTCAAAGTCTGCCTGAATTAGTCACATATTTCTGGTTCTTAGAAAAGTATTGCTAAATTCTACAAAAATAATGTCAGAAGGTAAATTTAAAATAAACTATAATATTAAATTAGTTGGAAACAAAAATGAACAATTATTTATATAAAGTAAATTAACAATTCTATAAAGAAATCAAATGCACCCAAAATAATATAAGCATATGTTCAAAAATTTTAGTAAAATTTCATTGCTTATAGATATTGCATGTTATTTCATTGTTTATAGATAAGAGATGATGTTATAACAATGATATAGAATGGTATGATATAGAATGATAATGTTATAAAAAAATGTTTTACCCTTTGAATAAACTGCTCTACTCTTGTTTGAAGTCCAAGCCATTTAAATTCTACAGTTACTAACTTATAAGCTGTCATAACAGGATTTACACTTTCCTAAAAAAATGATTTTTTTTAAATGCAGAGTCCCATACGTCTTTTCACATGATGCATTACAAAATCTTAATTAATTATATGCTGTTCAATATTTTACAAGTATTAGAACAATTTCATTAAAATAAAACTTTTCTTATGCAAACAGATTATTGAAAATATTAATAACTTTATAAAATAAGGTTTTGCTACCATTTCTAAAAAAAAATAATTTACAGAAATGACAACAACAACAAAAAAAAAAAAATTACAAGGTTCCACATTGAAAAACACTCACTATAAAATCTTATTAATAATATTCTTCCTTCCAATAAACATTTAAAAAAATAACAGTTAAAAACATATTTGATTGCTACAAAAAAGTATTTTTCTCCAGTGATGTTATACAAATTCTACTAGTTTCTACTCATTAATTTAGTCTGTGTACTGCAAAATCTATTAGGAAAAAAAACTTTCTAAAAAGTTTGCTAGATGGAGCTCTATAAAAACTGTTGCATGCGCTTAGCAAACACTGGTTTTTAAAAATATTTATTACTAACTATAAATCAAAATCTCGATAGTGTCTTAACGATTAATTATGGTGGATAGGGATTACCAAAAAAGATCCAGATATCTTTGGTAGTGGTCAGAATAAATCAATAAAAGTTATAATGGTATTTACCTACAAATTATACATCTCTTATTTAATGGGATTTACCAGTAATAATATTACATTTAAAATTATATTTCGTCATCTTTATGCTTTTGATTTTGTAAGTTGATAAAAATTAACTCTTTTCTTTTTCCTCAAATTCTCAGCTGAAGGCTTTCTTGCACCAAAGGAAACTAATGACTAAGTGGATGCTGTGTTCATAGAGTGCGTAGAGATCAAATTTAAGTTCGCTTCACTAATACTGACACAGGAAATGGAATATTAAACCCTCTCAAAAACATTTCAGCAAATTAATAAATTTAAATGTATTTTACAATGCACTTCTTTTACTATACCATAAAATTTTGGATTGCTATTATATATTTTACAAATTTCTTAATAAAAACAATAAAATGTAGCACAAAATGTTAATTAGCTTTATTATATGCAAAAACTGCATTAAATATCTTTACTCTGTTGCCCGTTCTAGAAATTCACATATTTTATTAAATACACTTCTAAGATAATTTTCTTTGCATTATCTTCACTGCTTTTATGTTGCCTCGGCAGGCAAGCAATACATTTTGAATAAAATATCAGTTTATTTTAAGATCTGAAAAAAATTAATAATTTAAAAAATATTAACTGATAACAAAAATAAGACAAATAGAAAAAATAATCTTGACCTAAAACAAGACAATTTATGAGAAAATTAATTAAGTAAAAACTTTGAAAATTTGAGATGTCTTGGGTTTAATCTTGGTACTCAAAAGGTTTCATCTTTATTTCAATTATTTAAATATATGTAAAAGAAAGTTTGTTTTCATGTTTTGCATGCAATCTTTTATACAAGAACTGTGGCCTTTATTAAAAGGTAACAAGAAGTATTATTAGAGCATGGCAGAACAATTATGTAAAAATACATACATTGCTCAGCAGTAGACTTGCATAAAATGAAAAAACTTCCAGTGAACACAAAATCTCAATTAAAAAACTTTCTGCACGCATTGATTTATTTATGTAACTAGTTTCAACCCTTTCATCGTCACCTTATTTTGGTGAAATTCAATCAAAAATTACAGATTTTTTAAAAATGTTCAATTTTTATAAAATTCTGTAACGTTTCATACCAGTGATGAATTTGGTAAAAAACCGAGAAAGTTTAAAATAGAAAATGAAAAATGTTATATACCAAAACACTTTTTCAATTATTGAAAAAAAAAAATACCTGAAATTTAAGCAAGAAAAAAGTATGTAGAAAGCATTTATCCATAGAATGTAACCAAGGTTTAAATAAAAATATTGATGATATTTTCATACTTTATATTTGATGATATTATATATTGATACTTTATTTAAATTGTGAGATTGTGAATCGAAATGTGCGATTTTTAAAACATGTGAATACGAAACTTTACATTCTAAAAACGTGTTAATACGAATCTCGATGTTTGATTTTAAAATTGCGTTAATGAGAATTTTGATATTGGATTTTAAAAGCGAGTGAATATGAATTCGGTGTTTAATTTCAAAATAGCGTTAGTACGAATTTCGATGTTTGATTTTCGAATCACATGATCACGAAGTTCGATATTTGATTTTAAAATAACATTATTATGAATATGGATGTTTGATTTTAAAATAGTGAATACAGATATCTATATTTCATTTCAAAATCACGTGAATATGAATTCCGATGTATACTTTTCAAGTCACTTGAAAGAGAATTTTAATAGGGGCTTTTAAATCACCTGAATATGAATTGTGATATTTGATATAAAATCAGAATATACAAAATACGAAGCGCAATCTTAAAGATTGTAAATAAAAATCGCTAAGCATGATTTTAAATCATGCAAATTTAATTTTAAATCACATTTGCATTGGTAGAAAAAAGTATAATTTTTTTTCTCGGGAATCTCAAAAAGACAAACTATCTTTGAAGTGACAGACTTATTTTCTTCAATAAGGCGAGAAAAAAATTTTTCTGTAATGGTGACAATTTTTCAGCGAACAGCGTTCGTGTATATTATACAGGTATGCTCAATTGTAACATAAAAATTGGTCTAAATGGACTATGCTTTTATAATACAAAGAAAATTAGAAAAAATAAATAAATACAGATTTGCAAAAGGTATTTATGTACTCCAAAAATTACTGATATCTACATACTAAAGATGAATAAGATAATGCAATAAATAATAGACAAAAACAAAGAGCAAGATGAATGTAGAATACTGAAACACTCAAAATAAATAATATATTAAAAAATTAAAGAAATGAAAGCTTTCTTACTTTCCAGTTACCAGTAAGTGGACCTCTTCCTGTCTTTTGGCTTTTGAATTTACTAGGATCTTCAGATTCCTTATAGTCCTAATTGCAATCAGAATACTATGTTAGAACAGCAAAAAATATCAAAATAGATAAATGATAAAAAGATATAATCAAATAGATTGGTTTACCAAATTTAGAAATGCACTTCAATTCTTTACTCAATTGCGATAAAAACAGGGATAATCACAAACAAAATTACAGTTAAACCCCACTTACAAAAATTGGAATAAAAACTATAAAGAATCTTGAATATAATGAAATTCTCAATGTACAATCTAAGTTGTTTCATTTGGATATTTGGTCTCACAATTCATGGATTGTTACTGAACTTAATTATTACTTTTTTTTAATATCCATATTTATTATGGTTTAACAATTTAATGACTATTTAAAATGTTTAATAGCTAAATATGAAAAAAAAGAAGATAATTATGCATATTAAATAGACTTATCTAGAGTCTTTTTACTAGGTTATTTAAATCTATTTACCTTGAGTTTAAGAAATATAAATAATTAAAAGTTTCACTTTAAATTTAGTTAAAGTTACAAATCTTAATATATTTTTTGTTTGACAATCAAAGCAATTTACATGGAAGAAAAAGAAATTTTTTACTCAATTAGGTAAGCACACTCAAAAATTTAGCTAATTTTGTTAAAAATGAAGTTAGTTTTCTTAAGTAATTTTCAGTGATGGAGTGTTGAAAAGTTTAAGAATGATTAATAGATTTCATCTTTTTTTTTAAGCTATATTTATTAAATATAATGTAATAGGCTCTTACATGGCAATTATCTGACAGAGTAGAAGAATTTAGGAATAATGATTAGATTTAAATAACCCATTTTAAAGCAATAAATTTGCTTAAATAATGAAACTATTGTGCATCAAACTAAAGAAAAACAAAGTTGAAAAAGAAAAAAAAAACATATGGCCATTTTTACTACAAATCTTATGTACAACAATCTTTTATAGAAAAAAAATTTTTACATTTTATTTTTGATAAGATATAAAATGAAATAGCAATCTAAAATCAAAAAGAATACTACAGCTATATTACCTTAGAGGGAACTTGGTCATTTCCTATGTCAATAAATTGAACCTCTCTAATTTTTAGTTTTTCTGGCGGTAATTCATGTGCCTAAAAAACAAAGAAATCGGCAATTTACTTTTTATTTCACAAAAAACTTGGATAAATAAAATGGTAGTAGAGAATATTTTTCACTTTTTAAAGAATATTAGACTGTCCAAATCACAATCTTAAATTAAAGCAAAAACATACCCGTCTCCTTATTGCATACAAAACCAGTAGAACTCTAAATATAATTACAAGAGGTTGAGGTAATATAATAACCCACATTTTTAAAATGTTCAGGAGAGCATTTTTAAAAAAAATTCTAAGCCATAAAAATTTTTTTCAATGGGCTGTTAATTGGCAGATATTAAAACTAGTAAAGTACTGATATTGAAACAATAATAAAAAAAGTCTGATTAATATTATAAAAAAAGTTTGATTAAAATTCTACTCAGGGATATTACTACACCTGATTCAATAGTTAAATAGTACAAAATCACAGTAAGTAGCCCTCACTGCTCTTTCCATAACATTAAAAAGTAACTTTGCCGTGCACTTTTAATTTATTCTCAATTTTGTTAAAATCTTTTTATATTTCTTAAGAATTCACATTTTCTTTTTATTCAGGAATATATTAGCAATTTTAGGTTCTTCATGTACACATTAGGAGGAGAGGACGGCATATATATGTATTTTATTAGGTAACAAAAGAACTTGAATTGCAACTCTAAAAAAATTGTATACAGAGTTTTTCCCTGTTGCACACAGTTCCTTGTTATTGCTTATTAAGAAAAAATAATAATAATAATAAATAAGTGAATAAATAAATAAAAATCTGCTGTTTGTAAGATCTTTAGCTTGGTTGAAGTTTGTAGAATAATGAAATCACATTTGATAATTTGTTATAAAAGAGAAAAAAGATAGTTTTTTTGCAAACAATTTTTTAAGTGAAAAAATTTAGAAATGGTTCTCTTTTAAATTCTGATCTTTTGAATATTATTATGGTACATAAAGACAAATTAGATTAAAAATTGATGGACGGTGCAAAATACAAATAAGGACACCTTTATAACTTTTGAATGATAGATAGGATTTTCAAGTGCTAAATTGCAATCCTAATGATTTAGGAGTCAAACCTTATATATGTGCTTAAATATGTGCAGAGACACAAAAACATACTTTCTCGGAATAAACATACCTTTTTTCAACAAATTTGGATTTTTGTTTCTCAAAATATTAGGATAGCTGCAATCAGAAAAAAAATATGGTTTCAATAGTTTGTCTAAAGAGCGGTCATAAGTTTGGGCCCCATTATGTTCGTTTTTTATGCATTTTGTCAAATATCCGAAACTACAAATACAGTAACATGACAAATTTATGCTGTTCAAAAAAATGAACAGATAGAAAATGCAGCTTAACTTCATATTCCCTTGTGATAAAAGACTATTAAATTATTTGTAAATAATTATTATTAAGCAATTTGGAATATTAAATAGAAAAAAAAACAAGTAGATTTTGAGTTTACATTTAAATATTACTGATTTTTTAAAGAATTCTCTATTTAGATAAAAATTTAAACAATGAACTCTTTAAATTAAGGTGAATTATTTTAATAAGAAAACAAGAGATTAAGTGTCAGTTTCATATTTAAAATGTAGCCAAAACCTAATATAGAATTTAATATCAATTTAATTTTTAAAAAAATTTCCTATATGATAAGAAACAAAAAAATTTGGTGAAATATAACATTTAAAACAAACACAAAACAAAAGCTTGACAACACTAAATTACCATCCATAACAGAAATTAAGACAAAAGTTAACATTTGAGAAAATAAAAATTATTAAGGATTTAAATGGTTAAAAAACACTTAATTAGGCAACAAAATAAAAACTAAAATATCAAACAACCATCAATACAGAAAAACATAATATTTAGGCTTTAAATTGGACTGAAATAACAGACTAATTTAATAACTCTGTTACATTTTTTAAAGTTTTATTAGACTTGAAAGATTATTAAGAATGGACTAATTCATATTTCTTACAAAATATGCCAATAGACAGGATATTTTGTTTTTTAAAAAAAAATGAGACAACAAATAGTAAAATTTCTAGTTTTTTACTTGATTCATGAAACTCACATTTTCTTGATCTCCCCTATCCGGACAATGCATCGTTTCAATACTTATAAAGAAAGCATCCTTCATATAACCTGGATTCTAGAACAGAGCATTCCATTTATTTTTTAATATTCTATATTTTGTGAGTTATTTTTAATTTAATTTTTAAAAAAAATTCTTACTGTTATAACTGCATCCAAAATTTACAGCACATGAAACAAAAGTTAAAATTAGTACATTTTTTCAAACATAAAAAATAAATATTTGAAATCTTATGACAAATTATTGCTATTACAACGAGCAGTTAAAAGAACAGTAACAAATATTTATCAGCTATATAATCAATGTACTTTCAATGTACTGTAATTAATAAACTTTTTTTTAATCAGAATTTTTCAATATAATTTGATACTTAAATATTTGATGTCATGAAATAAAGTGAAAAATTACTAAAAAATATCTTCTATAAATAATTTGAAAAAGTAAAAAAAAAAATTTGAAACTTAACGTGAAATTGTGAAAAACTATCAAATCTAAATGTATGAATGATTAAAAAAAAGTTTGCAAAAAAAAACAACATTTGTATTGTTAAATAATTGATGAATCCATATTAATTAATAAAAAGTAAAATAAATCAAACACATTTTTCTACACACTGTGAAAATCTCATATTTTAAAAATGTTACGGTAAGTACAAGAACAGAGTAGATGCACGTTAGTGATTGTAGTTAGCATGAACAGGTACAAATATTGCAATATGGTCTAAAGCTGTATAATAAACACTCAATATGGGCTATCATTATAAAATTGAAAAACTTAAATGAAAAAAATTCAAAATCACTCTTTAAAATCACTTACCATATATTTCTGAACATAAGCCAAGAATTATTAGAAATTTTTTGAAAGCTTTAGAGGGGATAGCGTACAATCAGATGTACCAACTTCAAAAAATTCCAGGACAACTGAAGTACTTTGTCGAGCATTAGCAATAATCAGTAAATATCACAAAAGTTACATACAAGACATGAAATGGATGCAAATGAAATGCCTAAATGCAGAAATTGCAAAAGAAACACATAAAAAGGACAATTTGAAAGAAATACTATTATTTTTTAAACTTTCAGCCTTATGTTTATGTGAATAAGAATACACAAAAGATAAAAAAAAAAGCACACTAAAATTCAATTAATTTCGCATTAGAATCAGATTCTCCGCAAGGCTCAGCAAATTTTTGTTCAGTCATCGGAATGTCTAGACTTAGTACACCTTCACTGCCGACAATCAACGCTGCGCAGCTGAAATGTTTGGAGAATTAATTTCAAGAGCAGCATACCTTTTTTTACATTGACTCATACACCAGTTTTGAATTTTGGTGTGAATTTCTATATAAAACAAATATTCTTAGGTTTATACACGGATAAGCGTATGTTTGGAAATAGACGATATGTGGAGAAATGGTCTCTAAAGTTTTATGATGCAATTTTACAACAATCCCTAAATTGGAACTATGAGCAATAATGGTTTAAGACAGCGCTTCCCAAAGTGTGGTATGCGTATCCCCAGGGGTACGGGAACAGTTTAGCTGGGGTACGCGTTCTTATGCGAAATATCTTGCAAACTACGAAAATTTCAAAAAAATTTTATTTAAAAACAAAGTTAGCCATGAGAATTTACGATTACGCATTTTTCTATTGGCTATTTTTTGCAGAGTTAACAGTTAATAATTAGTGGTGTCAACAGCCAGTTGTGATTTTTAACTGTATTTTTTTATAGTAAAAAATACATTCATACATTTTTATTAGTGGTACACAACATTTCAAAAAATTTAGAAAGGGTACACAAAAGTCGTAAGTTTGGGAAACACTGGCTTAAGATATACACTTCCTTAAAACTGAAAACAATGTACATTTTTATAAATTTTAACTTAAAGTTTTTACCAGTGCGACAGTAAGGATAAGCATTCCAAGCTTCTTCGTGAACTTCTAAAGCTCCCCTTGGAGCTAATAATCGAATATAACCAGGAACACGACTAACAAATAAAAGAAAAATTAAAGCAAGAAATTCAATTGAATAATAATAATTTAATCTATCCATACTTATTACCTTGCTAGATGATACACTTTGTAAGTGTATTGACCACTAGAGTATTTGCCTCCCAGTAAAGGAAAGTTTTCAAAAGGTTCATTTTTTCTAACTTCAACCCCTTCTCCACCTCCTGTTTCATTTTTGCTAACTTCAGCTACAGAGTATAATTGTCCTACTTGGTACTATAAATATAATATAAATTCTTTCAAGAAGGAATAATTTGATGTAGAATACAGTTATATTTAAATCATGATTCATATAAAAAACTTTGACTCATAATTAAAAATCAATCATAATTACAGTGCCTTTTTTTTATATAATTAATAAAATTCATTACGATATAATTTTTAGTAAAATATTCACACTATTTATGAATAAAATTTAAATTAAGTTACTATTAATTAATATTGAGTAGAATATTCAAATAATATTTGTAATGTCCATAAAAATTAAAATACATCAGAATATGATTTTATTCTGTCAAACATTTGATTTATATAAAATTTTGTTGATAAATAAGTCAAAATAAAAATTGTTACTAATCAAACAGAATATAAAAGCAGGAGACAGAAATCATTTTAGCAATATTTATAATTTTCAATCAGTAGTAATTTTTTCTTTAAAATTATTTACAAATAAGAGTAAATTTGATAAAAATTTCTTCAGATACTAAATATAAATTCTATATCAGCTGAAATACAATGTGTAGTATTTTTTTAATTACATTAATATATAACCCATAAAACATAGAATTACTCCAAAATATTTCATAAGTTGCAGAGGTGTAGTGGAGAGAGTACGTGGAGAAACAGTATGCTCTACTGGTTTTTGAAAAAAATCCCATTTTTTATACACAGTAAAATATGTTTATCTCTGTATTTTTTTTAAAATTTATTTATTTTGTGCACTGCAAAAATGTCTTTGCTGTTTTGAAGTTTGTTAAAAAGACAATTTTGAGAACAATTTCTTAAGTAATAATAATTTAGTTGAAATTAATTTCGTCTAGCGGCATGCATATTTAAACTTGTAAACTGTCAAGGATTCAAAGTCTTGACCTTTTTCCTACCCAAAAAACATCATAAATTCAAAAAAGAGAATTCAGTTTAAAAATTTATCTTTCTTTTTTCTCTTCTAGACATTAAACTAAATTATGGAACATTAAATGACAAATATTTTACTTTTGAAGAGGTATTAATCAATATTAAGAATTATATAGTGAATGAGGCTAGAAATAAAAGTTTAAGTAATACAATATACTCTTTATATCTCGAAAACCTTGTTATGTCAACAAAAAAATATTTTCCCTCTTGGCATTACATATCCACACAGCGTTAATTTGAATTTCTGCGTCAAAGAGTTTCTACTCAAAACCTTTTTATGTCTAATATATTATGAAATAGAATATTTTTTTCAGAAAAGTCACAATAAGTTTATTGTAAACCAATTATTTTCTATTTATTTCATAATTATTTTTATCTTATTTTTAAAAATTAAATTATCATTACTGAATTAAGACTTATAGTCAACTATCATTACATACATATTTATTATTTTTATGTTTCAGGACTTTACTTTTTAGATATTAGAATATATTTTTCTACTTTTCAGAACATATTTAGTTCTGAACATGTTATCTAAAAAATGTTTTAGCGTCCCTTCAACTTAAAGATATCGAGAGTATACTGTACTTTTACGTGTTAATTACAAAAAAAACTTTACAATTTTTAATGCTCCCAAACTGAAAAATTTGTCAAAGAAAATTTGTAAACTATAATAATACCTATGAAACTAGAAACTTTGTATTGGTTTGTTTGGCTTAGTAATGTATTTACAAGAAGAGATTTCAAATAAAAACAACAGTTTAATTATCAACTTTTAATTTTCACTTGTTATAGTTTTTTGCCATATCCTTTTGTGCTAAGTATTGTTCACACAAAACTACATGGCAATATCCAGTATTAAGTAATTTAAGACAAAAAAAAAGTCAACTATTTTTAATAATTGTTTATTAAATATATTTTAAAAACAAGAATGCCACATTTCATAATAATACACCAAATGGTTAGTAATTACCTTAACTGTTTAGTAGTATAGTTCACTCGAAAATACCTAATTATATTTATATTTAAACAGAAATGATAAAATTGCAGTTGTTCTTTATTAAATAAATTTTGAAGACAAAATATCCACATTTCATTATAATTTACATAACTGTTTTCTTAACATTCTGGCATTACACAGCTATATTTGATTCTAGACAGTTTAAGGAAATGGGTAAACTATTTTTTGATTAGTTTTTAATTTTATTAAATCTGCGTAAAAGTCGAGAAATCACATTGAAATTTAATTTAAAGTTGTTAATTTCGTATTTTATTTATAATTTCATATTTACAGTTTCTTACAATTTCAGTATTTTTTAAAATTTAAAACAATGTAGTAATGGACAAAAATGTTTTTGTTGAGTTGACAGAAAAGTTTTAGACAGGACATGAAATATTTTACTATTGAGTCAAAAACCTTAGCAATCTTTTCTTGGCTTACATTTAATAATATTAGTTAAATTTCAAGATGTCCATTTATTTACATTTTAATTTTGCACTTATTAGGCAGACATTAGAAAATCTTCAATAGAAAATATTAAATTTTAACGTAAACATACATAAAAGAACCAGAAATAACACGAAAATATAAGGCATATGAAATAAATTATAATTTTAAAGATACAAAATTGTAATTTATTAATAAAGAGACAAAAATTCATTATTACGATTGCAGTAAAACACAACGAACTAAAATTATCTCACCTCTTCAACTGTAATAGGAAGAACTACCCTGCTAAAAAATAAAATGACACATCATCATTAAATAATCAATGAAAAGTGTTTCATTCATTAATATCATGTTTAAGTAATGTAATGTTAATTAAGAGGAAGAAATTAAAAATATTGTCTTAATGTCGATATTTTCCTTATTCATGGATAAAGAAGTTTAAATGAACTAAAAATCTACCAATAAATTCATTCCACAGAAGAAATTTAATATTAATACTTACTATTCCTTTATCAGCATACTGAAACAGTGTTTAAACAAACACCGAAATTATAAATATCGATGATCAGCCTCTTTAAATTTGAGCCGAGTGTTTAAAGAGAGCAGAATGAAAAGAAAAGGAAGGAGCGGAAAGCCAAAGCAGCAATTTGTTGATAATTGGGTGCTTTAATAAATGCATTCAAAGTTATTTGTACAAGAACTGAAACTTTTTGTCGTTCGTAAAAGGTTCCAAAAGTCTGTAAAACCATGCTTAAAAGTCAGATATGAAAATTCCAGACTTAAAAGTTGAAAAGGTGTAATATAATAGTCATCATTTTTTTGAAAACCGGTAACACCCTTAATGTCTTCTGCACTTTTCTTTTATAATTCATCATTAATTTTAATTATAAAAAATACTTTTGTTGAGTAAGGTTCTGAAATATCCTCCTTAAGATTTACAACGATGGTTAGAAACCATTTGTCCTTAAACATTTGGGGACACTCACTGAACTAACATTCTTACTGATAAAATTTATCCAGTTTAGTAATACAGATGCGTTATTGGCAATCGCAACGCTCGAATACGCCATCTGGGAAGCGACTGGTTTCATGCCTTTGGCACTTCTTCCTTCCCTCTCCTCCTCTTTTCAGTTATATAGAAGTGTACTACGATATTTTCCCTTTTTATTTAATAAAAATAATGCTTAAAATTTCCGAGATGCTTTTCTTTAGAACTATGTTTAATGTAGCTTTCAGTTCCATATAGTTTTCCAACTTAAAAGATTTCAATCTACATGAAAATCAAGAGATAAACTAATGAACTTCCTTCCTCTATGACTCTCCACATGCTAATGAGGAAGGCATGCAAAGGATTGCCATAGGCGGAGAGTTCTGCTTTACGCCATCTGCAGCCCATTTCGATCGCCAATTTTTGCCAAACTATTTACCGATTTTTTTACACGTATGTTAGCTCAGCTAATTTTGATATCAAATGACTGTGGTAGCTGTAGTTTATTTACGTCGCACTAGAGCTGCACAATGGGCTACAAGCGACGGTATAGGAAATATCCCAGAGGATGATCCGAAGCCATGACATCACATTTTTGATCCTCTGCATGGGAGATGGCTCTCCCACTTCGGTAGTCCGACGAAGTCGAGCACTTTACGGTAGAACAATTTAACGAGGATTAATACCCCTCACTCTCGGTCTCTTCGCAGACTGATCCAAGTGGTCACCCACCCACACACTGACATCGTTTTCTGAAACCATCAATTCTGTTATCAATATTTCAATTCCGTTTTCAAGATTTGAATTTTAAGACAATTTGTCATAAAGTAAACAATGGCTAAGTATAAGCAATAAAAATAAACAGAAACTCTAAGTTAAGCAAGTAAATTTCAAATTATGAACATCATTATTATTATTATTCAATCGTAGTAGAAAAAAATTAAAAAAAATAAAAGTCATCTTCAGCTTCTCTGTCATTTCAGTTCGCTGCCTATTCGCGCAGATTTTGAATCTTAGCTGTAAAAAACATATTAGTCCGGTGTCTGTAACAAGATCTGCCTGCGACTGTCTTTACACATTTCTGAGCACAACAATAACAAATTTGTTTGAACACCTATACACAATTTTTTTCTCTAACCCAGTCTTTACTACTGCCACATGAAATTAAATTCAATATTCGTTTTGAGGCAGGTAGTTGTGTAATGTAAACAGTACGTAGTGTTCTTTTACATTCCATTGCCAGTCTTTTGGAATCAAATTGTTTCCTAAACGATTGTTTAGGTGGCGTAACAAGAGGTGGTCGCCTGTGGTGATTCGCCTCATTCGACACTTCTTAAGTACTTGAACAACGTATTTTCTTACCCTAATTTTTTTTATTAAGTAACGATTCGGTGGGGGGGGGCTAAAATATTTATGATTAATTTCCACTTACTTTCTGATGGAATATACATTATTTTTCTTTAACAACTAATTTCGGTGGCATAGGCATGAGAGTGGGCCCACTTTTTGTTTTTAGAAAACAGTTTGTTTATAAATAACTGTTACATACATTATGAAAACAGTTAGTTTGTACATACATTTATGTATGAGTATGCATGCACGTATACATAACAATAGTATAATCATCTGAACTCGGCTGGCAACGAACGTGTTTAACAAAAATCTTTTGTTTATTCACTTATAACAATAAACTGAAAAAAACTTTGCCAGCAGGTTAAACAGAATTTGAACTCTTTTAATAGCCTTTTATTGATCGCTACTTTTTACATTTTTTGGTGCACGTATATTTCCTGTTATTGTTCATATTAACTCATTTATGCCCAGCCATTAAAAAGCAATGTAAGGAAAACATTCAAATGAAAAAAGTGGTGCTATATGAAGTGGATATTTATTCCTGTTACCTACCACTTTAGCTATAAAAAAGCACTGTGCTTTGACTTCAGATCCAAATATAAATTTTTATATTATTAATATAGTACTAGCTAAATACCCGTTCTTTAGAAGAGGTGAAAAGAATAAGCATCAATAAATCATTACTGAACAACACAGCAAAATCTTGCACAAAACGGTAAGACAAATACCGACACAAATAAGAAATAGGAAAGCTAAAATAATTCCAATGTTTTTTTGTTTATTATTTGTTACCCCATTCGATTGTTTTTACGTTACTAGATTAAACAAAACTCGTATTTAGTAGTTCATCCCAACAAAATACAGACTAACTATGTTCAGTATCATCTGGTATAATGTTGTTGCTCCAAACAAATCATGATACTCAAAATTTACCACAATTAAGCAACTTTTTCATGTACTTATATTTTCGAAGGGGACGTAAAAAATCTATCATAAAAATGCACAGCATTATTGCAGCTGTAATCAGTATTAAAATTATTAATAAAATACTTTGTGCTTACATAAGAGTTTATTTGGTAACAATTAAAGCTGCATTAATTACCATGATGCAAAGGTGCCCAAAACTAAGCATCATTAATGTCAATAATAGTATGCGAATTTTTTACGGTTCCTCATAACGAATGAGCACATTTTCTTCGTTAATTTTTTTTATTACATAGCTAATTTTTCTATCTCAATTAGTACCTATTACCTGAATTAATTAAGCATCATTGGCCCTAATAGAAGTCTGCCGATTTCTTACTCTGTATTTGACAAATTAGCATCTTATCTCTATTAATTTTGCATTTTTGTACATAGTTTATTATTTTACTTCAATTAGTAACTGTTACCAAAATTAATTATCGTTGGCGTCAATAATAGTATTGTTTTTTTTACTTCCACCCCCCCCAACTAATTAGTTTCATTTCTTCATTAATTTGACTTTGATGTACAAAACTTATTTTTTTATTTCAATTACCGTTGATTTTAAATTACTCAGTTTTATAGTAACACGTTTTAAAAGCATAACTATAAATAAAATAAACACATGGTTTCAGGGGAACTAAGAAATAATAATTGGGTCACGCAGTCTGCCCATGTTACAACAACCACGTTGATCATTCAGATAACATGGTATAACGAATAAAAAATAATTAAGTATTACAGAACGTGCTATAAACAACTCTTATAACTAGAACTACAAGCAAGCAAACATCACTAGTGTTATCTTTAAAATATTTGGCAAAACTGATTCGCTAAACAATGTCTTCTGCTGAACCATTGCGAAAATCCCATTTTTGAAATATCTCTGAATAAAAATTATAATTAAAAAAAATCACAAATCAAGCTTCGTAATTTGTTTGCAATTGCATTCATTCAGTGTCTTGTTGAATATCGTATTTTCAGAGCCTATATTTCACCCACAATTCGGTACACAGACAAGCAAATTACTTTGTACAAATGTATAAATTATGGTAGGAGGAATTATCTTGATTCTGCAAAATAAATTCTTCTAATGAAACACTTACGTTATCACTTTGTTCCCCCTTTCTGATTAAAAAAAAAGGAAAAGAAAACGAGTTGTTCTTCTAAAAGGACGATAGACCCAAAATGGGTTAAATACTTAAAAAAGGAAAGATATATACATATTTCTGCAAAATCATTGTAAGATAATAAAACAAATATAGATACTTTTTTTCAAATTTTATATTTGTGAAAAAATTTTCACATGCTTTAAAATAAAAGAAATTACTCACCACTAATGACACTTAATTAAACTGATTAATGACACTGATATTAGAACCATTTTTTTAAAAAATGAACTGTGTTTTATTTGGACCCATCGTAATGAAAAAAGTTAATTCATTTAATTTAGTCTTGTTTTGGCCTTTTAATATTTCCCATTTATCTCAAAAGGAATTAAATTTCTATTGTTTGTTTATCAGTGAGATATGAAAAATAATTTGAGAGGTAGGTATTATATTTACGTAGCTATCTACATCACAGGTTATCCTTTCATTTTTATTTTTGATCAGTTAAATTTGATTTGAAAGGACATTGACAACCAATATATCTAATTATTTTAACCTTTGCAGTCGCATTTTGTTGATATTCAACAGAAATTGCTGTTGAGTACGTGCATACCACTACAAAGAGTAAAGCCGGGAAGCTAATTTAGAATCCAGCGACCTTTAAAGACTCTCTCATTTTTTTTTTTTGGAGATTAAAATCTTAACTGTAGTTGGTCTCAATTATAATAGATTATTTTATATCTTTCAAAATTTGTAACCTGAACTAAAACAATGTCAAAAATCAAGTTTTTTTTTCTTTTTAATTAAAAAAAAAAATGCTGAACAAGGCCGCTGTATTGGAAAATCGCAGCCGCATTCCTTCTTTTTGCAGATTTAGATAAAGTAAAAAAGGCAACGCATTCTGTTTGTTGTGAGGTCAAGTGCCATAATAAAATTACAATAGTAATTCTTTGTGATGAAATTAAAATTAATTATAGTCCCGCAGTGAACTGATCGTTAAGACACGGTTCCCAGCAGATCACCGAAGTCAAGCATCACTGGCTGCGGTCAGTGTGCTGGTGGGTGACCACTTGGATCAGCCTGCGTAGGGACCGAGGATGTGCGGTATTGGTTCTCGTTAAACTGTTCTACCGTAAAGTGCTCGGCTTCGCGTGCAGGTCGTCGGGTTATCGAAGCAGGGGTGCCATCCCCTCTGAAGAGNAAAATTCTCCATGTTCCCATAACAAATCAATACCTCTGGGGGTGTCTTTGTCTTCCGGATTATAGTCCATTGTGCAGCTCTAGTGCAACAACTAAGATAAATTGTGAGAAATGTGTAGTCACCTTCAGCACGAAAAAAAAAAACTTGAAAAAAAATGAATATGATTATATAAAATTCATAAAAAGAGTGGTGAACTCGAGGCGTCAAAATGCTGTCAATTGCATTTGGTTATTAGTATGGCCCGTATTTTGATGACATGTGCATTTTTTTTACATTTTTTAACTTTTTTATTCTTTAAGGGCACTTTTTACGAAAGTGGGATTATTTTTTTCCTCTTGAAACATTTGAACATTCTTGAAGCATGTTTACGGAATTTCGTTTCTGAATTCCGTGAAAACGATTTTTCAACAGACGGAATAATTTTATTTAACTACGTGAAGCAAAAATTTCAACTGAAAATCGATTTTCTGTTGTTTAGAAACATATATAAAAGCCTGTTCAACTTCCTGAAATAAAAAATCAAGCATGCCAACGTTTAACTAGTAATGTAGCTTATCCACGGAACCAAGGAAATCATTTGACGAAGAATTATAGGATGTTTTTGAGCCAGCAAATATTTCTCTAAAAAAACTGAATAATTCTATATTATGCCAGTTTTTAGTAAGACTCATTGAACATGTTGAGCCGGATGAATGAAAAATGCACAAAATCTACGTTGATGTTTGTTATATTGAAACTCTGAAGAAAATTAAATAAATTTCATAAGAGAAAAATTTTTTTGTGTCAATTGACAAAACAAATGACCTTATTATTCTTAGTTGCCGATCGGACTGCGTAGGGGTCAGGGAACTGGCCTCGCATCAGAAAGGTTCTGAGTTCGAATCTTGGGCAAGGCATGGGTGTTCTGTCATTCTCTGTACTATCTGTCCTTACTGTGGGAGCAATGTTGGTCCACCTAATCAGATGCCCCTGAAAGAGTGGCCAACAAATCTGGCCTGAAAATGCCTGAATTGACGAAATGTTAACACAGGGGGGCATTGGAAATAAAAAAATTATTCTTGCGTTAACATTTATTTCAAACCTTAAAGGAAATATCTGAGGAAGATATGCAGCTAAAATAAAGTTTTAACTGCAATTCACAATAGCGGATGAAATTTTGTTTTATTTTGTAACTGTCGTTGAACAGCTGACCCAATTTTGAGTATACGACTACTCTGTAGTCCTGTAATTTTGAGCCCAATCCAGAAAAACTCCTAGATCACGTATTGGGAGAAATTTACCTTAGTGGAGGACTTTTTGATGGAATTAACCAGCATTTGCGTTATATGGATAGGAAAATCCCGAAAACCTCCCACGGTTAGCCTGATGGTAACTGGGATTTAACTCATGATCCGTCTATCACTTATGATATTTTACGTCAGCTCTGTGGCGAGTGCGAACCGGATGCGAAATTCGTATCGACCAGCCATCGCTGGGATTTATTAGCAGGCGAGTACCTCATTGAGAGGCGAGCGGATGAAATTGTAGTTATAATGAGCTTATAATAAGTAAATACACTTAGTTAATGTTAAAATTATAATAAAAAGATTCGAGTGAAGAGCATTATAGTTTTTAACGTCATTGATAACGCTGAATGTTGATTTCCATAGATAGCTTTCAAAAAGGGAAATTAGGGAGCATGGTAGATCAGTTTTTAACGGATCAATTCGCTACAGAATAATACTGACTTAAGATATCTAGGGATAAGCAACAGTTATAGCTCCAATATATGCAGAAGTGATTCCTTAACAGATCATCCAACTTTATCTAGAGTTCCTGATATCTAATTTAGGTAACTAACAAAGTTAGATGGCAAGAACTCTAACTTTAAATAAACCCTTATGCACTTGAGATTTTTCTTATGGCTAGAAGTTGATCCTACTTTAATTAAAACTATTTGTTATACATTATTCGTTTGTAAGTGTTAAGATTCCTCAGCAGCTTTAGACTTCAGGCTACAAACAAACGAGCTTCTGCATGCATATCGCTAGAACTTGACCCGACTTCAATTAAACGCTTAGTACGTTATCCCTTATAAATATTAAAATGACATACATTTGAAGGCTTGTTTGCTCAATTTAGACTTCTAAACCTTTGTCAAGTAGAAGGACAGATAAAACAATTTAGAGTAGGACTTAATAAAGAATACATTCAGGGTTACAAAGGGATTCGAATTCGCCACCTCCACGCTTTGCACAGCGTTTGGCGGGTGATAACGCTTTACCAGGGAGACTCCGTAAATATTGAGATTCCTCAACAATTTCAAATTTCAGGCCACGAACCGATGAGCTTCTTTCTCACAATACGAGACATTAGAGGAAATAACTTCTGTAAGTACGGGACTTAAGTATCTTGGTCAATCCAGAACTGATCGACAAAGAAAATCACAATTGCTATAAGTCCCGCAGTGGACTGATCGTTAAGACACGGTTCCCAGCAGATCACCGAAGTCAAGCATCACTGGCTACGGTCAGTATGCGGGTGGGTGACCACTTGGATCAGTCTGCGTAGGGACCGAGGGTGTGCGGTATTGGTCCTCGTTAAACTGTGCTACCGTAAAGTGCTCGACTTCGCGCGCAGGTCGTCGGGCTACCGAAGCGGGGGTGTCATCCCTTCCGCAGAGGATCAAAATTGTGATGGCATGTCTTCGGATCATCCTCCGGGATGTTTCCCAGACCGTCGCCAATAACCCATTGTGCAGCTCTAGTGCGACGTAAAGTAACAACAACAACAACACAATTGCTATAAAATCATTTAAGAATCTCATAGCTCACAGACGCTTAATTGAAGAAGAACATTTAAGGATTTTTAAACGCAGAGGTTTTTCAGAGACTTTCTGACTAGAACCTTCGACCTTTTGTGGCAAAATCTGAGATCGTTTTATTTCAATTACTCACGTGCGTGAGCTGAGGTTTTTCAGTAATTTTGGAACACGAGTCTGCGACTTTCTCTCACACAGTCCTAGATTTTAGTTTTTCTGAAACCCCAGACTTGGCATTTGTTTTTTCACATACATGCAAAAGCATACGTGCTTCTGCTTAATACAAAGAACATCTTATAAGCCTGCGTCAAGTTGAAGAACAGATAGTTCAAATTAGAGAAGAGCAGCACAAATATACATCCAATGTTAGAATTCGAATCAGCTACCTCCAAGCTTCAGAGCATGTGGTGGATTGACGATACCCCACGGCCCATAAAGTTCTCCAAAATATTTACTCATGATGCCACGGGGTTTCCCTGGTCGAGCGGTAACACCCGTCAAGCGCTGTGCAAAGATTGGAGTTAGCGGGTTCGAATCCCACTGCTACCCTGGATGTATCTTCGTGCTGTCCTTCTCTGTATTGTGCTATCTGTTCTTCCATTTGATAAAGGTCTATAAGCCTAAATTGAGCGCACAAGCCTGCAAATGCATGTAATTCCAATAAACTGAGGATGCCACGTCATCAGTTTTTCAGAAGAAATGGGCGACTTAAATAGTCATCTCAAATGATAACCTAAAATTTTATGTAGTAATTAGATTTGGTAGATTGAAGAGTCATTATCTGAGTAAGGATATTTTCGAAACGAAGATTGTTGAACAAAAACTACGATGGCTAAACGTAAAGCTATTTCATCAGAAAAAAAAGGACAAAATTCAAGAAGGGTTCTTCCTAGGAATCGACTACAAAAACAACAAAGTGTAAGTATTTTTTTCTTTTTTTTTCCTTCTAATTTATGCAATACATGAAAGCAAAATATGTTATCTTTCTAAACTTTTCTCTGCAAGCAACTTCAATAATATTATGACATTTTTAAAGTTCTCTTGAATATAATTATCAGATTTACCAAAGTAACTATTAATTGTGGTCTTTTAAGGAAGCTTTCTTGACTTCAATAATATATATAAATTTATTATTAATTTTATTAGTATTATTAACGTTTGGCATAGAGTATTATTTAACTCATTCAGTAGCAAAAATTCGATCAGTGTAATAACGTTTTACTTTAAATTGAAAGACTTCAGTAACAAAGACTATTTTTTTTCTTGTGAAAAAAAAGAATGTGTTATCTTACTGTAACAGTTTATCATTAGAGTCTGCAACAAAAGCTTTCAATTAAATCTATAAAGTAAACGGAATGGATTTTATTGATTTTTTACTGATTTAAAATGTAATTAGAGTTTTATATTTTCAGTAGAGATAATTTTTATTAATTACAATACAGAAAAATCTCATCCCATTTCAATTCAATAAATGACAATTTTTACTGTTTTCGAGGCACATCTAGCCTTAAAGATTTGTTTATAGTGCGTTCAACTATTATAAAATGTTTCAATAGTGTTAACAATTTTGTTTAAAAAAAAATCAGGAAATTAACAAATGTAGATCCTATCTATAAGAATAGTAGTATCAATTATGAAAATTTTAACCAGAAATAACATGAAAATCATTTTAATTTGTGTTTTGTAAAACTTTAAAAATGGATGCTGATGAAAATTAAGAGAAACCAGCCAAGCATACTGATTGATATCTGTTACTTCGGGACATTTTTATTGAGAAAAGAAAAATCTTATCCGCATGAAAGAAATTGCTTGCCTTTTTAAAGTAAACCTTATTTTAAGGAGAAAAAAATTATTCGATGTTTTAATTTAGTCTTTTTCAAGCTAATGTCAAAATGTGAGTTTTTTTTTTTAAATATGCTTATAAACAGCACAACTATAAGTGACGTCATCGTAGGTAAATCGTGACATTTGTCGATTCAGAAGCCAATCAGATTCGACATACACCTGACGTCGCTTACAAGTATCCAATAAAATTCGATTTAAATTACATGGTTAAGCATAATTACTTTCACTTCTCGAGTTGCAAGTCAACAATTACTAAAATTATTTTTAAAAAAAATGGTAATTTTTCTGTGGGTCTGATCGTAAAATAAAAATGGAACACCTTAATGATTTTTATCCAATGACCTTTATAACATATATTGAAATATGAAGTTAATTAATGGTTCGATGTCCTAACCTCAAATATAATAATTTGTGAAAACTATATTTTAAGTTACGAAATAGGACATAAAATTCACTTCCTTTAAGCCTCAATTGGGAAATAAGATGCATAAGAAGAGCGGTGCCAAGTTTGGTCCCTCTAATACTAATTTTAGTTTTGCGTTATGCCACCCATGACCCTATACTAGATTGTCTGGGGCTTTCAAGACATCTTTTCACAAACACAATTCTGTACTATTATAGACTTTCTTAGAGCGACAGATTTCATAGACCTGATTTAGCGTTGATAACAACAGTTTTGCGTTATTCACCATCCATCACTAAACTATTTAAACAAATGCAAAAAGAAAAAAAAATTATTTCTATAAAACTATTTTATTTAAAAATTTCAAACAATTTTTTACGATTATTTATGGTAATAATCAATAGAGATTTGAATTGTAAGATACGCCGATTTACGTCATTTCAAATTCATCTCAAAAGCTCAATATCCTAAACGTAAGCGGAATCTATCAACACTTCTTTGGTTTTAAACTTAGAGCTCTCGGCCTTGTGAAAATAAGTTAAACTTGCTTCTTGTCAGCTACAAGCTGAATTTTTCTTCATTTAATTGCCAAATATTCAGAGCCTGATTATCGCCCAGACCCAATAGGCATGGGCCTAGGACCCACAATTTCTGGGGAGGAGGCCTCAAAAATTAGTAAAAAGTCCTCAATATTATTATTTCTTTCAAATACTGAACAAAACGGCTTTTCTAAAAAAAAAATGCTTTTTTTTTCTATTTCAAATTTTCTTTATTTCGTGATAGCGACCAAACTCACCTAAACATTGCACTAATCAAATTCGAAAGTAAAGTGAGCTAGCTTTATGTTCGTTTAACTAATGAATAATTACAGCTTAATGACACAGCAAAAGTCCATGATAGTTCTCGTTTGTGGTTACCAAATGCCTTCAATTATTTATATTTGAACATGAACTTTTTGCAAAAATCAATAATATCAATTGTTTGTGGTCCCCTAACTATTTTTATTTTGACATAACATTGTTTTGTTGATTTATATTTAGCTTTAATATATAGACGCGTAAACTTTATCTTCGAAAAATCTTCGATTGTCTGCTTTTGAAATTTCTTAGAATGTTTATCTTGAATCATGCAGTTCAATAGATTATTTTTTACTGTCAGGACTACTCTTCAGTAATTTAATTACAAAACATTTTGTAAAGGGCCCGGGAAATTTATTGGGTCTTTGGCCTGATATTGCTTTGATCGGTCGCTGCAAATATTACTCATCCTTCATCGAAAATTTTGATCATACTTTGAAAATCTAAAGTTCAAATATTTCACTGATCTGTGTTTGATGACTATACAAGTTTCAATTTTTTCCTTCTCTCTACAAACAGAATTTATAATCATATTATAGAAAACTGGAATTTATTATTCCATTTATTGACCACTTTCTGACAAGCTAGAATTCTCAAACTTCAATTAAAGAACTTCGATGCCAGTTCCATTGTTTCCTAATTGGTGCATAACAAAATTTTCTCAGTTTTTATCGCCTAAATTTTGATTACTTTCCGACATAAACCAAATAGATCTTAAAATAAAATTTTAAACTAAGTTTTTTATTTCGACTAAAAGCAAAATTTTTTCCCTTTAAATCTAAAAAAACGTCAGCCGAAAAATTTTCGAAAATTTTGTGCAATCTGTCAAAATAGATGCTTCCAACGTTTTACGTCTAACAAAAGTAAAAATACTTTTTTAAGTTTATTTTAAAAACGCAAATTTAATCTATATATTTCTCTTACGTTGCACTAAAAACGAAGGTATTTCTCCACCTAAATTGGCAACACTATAATCATCCGTGATCTTGTTTAGATTGTCTTAAGTAATGTTAAGTAGTGCTGAATTATACGTTATTTATTTAGAATAATTTTGTAGTTTTATCGAAATAAAAAACTGCTACATGAATTTGCAAACGTTTCTGAATTCCACTGTAAAATTATGAATGAAACGTGTAATTTTTGCTACGCAAGATATTGGCAAGATTTCTCTGACGATCAGCAAAGGCCAAGGTTAAACTTTTGAAAAGATTGTTCTAGACTTGAAAAAACCTGTATTCAGTAATGGCCAGCTATATGAATCTGACTATTTGTCAACCATTTCAGAAATAAAAAAAAAAGTTTATAAAGAGAGAGTAATAGAGCATTTGGTAATGTATTTAGTAGTGTTAATTTCATATATATTTTTGTTATGTGTACATATTTTAAACCCCGTATTTCATTGTCTAATCGAAATTTTATCTACATATTTAACATATATTTTTCGTTTTCATGTTAGGACATCTCGACTTTAGAGAACCGTCCCTGCATGAAAAGAAATAAGAGTAGAAAGAAGTAAGAAACTAAGAATAAAAGGAATTAAGAATGAAATAAGAAAATCAAAATATTACTGATAGTTTGGTTACGTAATTCCAGAGCAAGAATTACTTTTCTTCCCTTAGGGAAATCTCACAAATTCAACAAAAGAATCCCAATTAAGTGAATGAATATCTTATTATTTGATTAAAGATACAGATACGAAGTGTTTAAATTTTTTTGGGGGGGTTAAGCATAATATTCCAAAAATTATGGAAGTGATCGAATATTTCTAAAAATGTACAATGGATAAAAAGGAGAATTTTTTTCCCCCGAGGTATTTAACAGCCCTAAATCTGAACCCCACTATCATTTTGGGCTTTTACAGTGCTATCTTTGAAAAGAAATGCCAAAATAAAATCTGAATTGTAGTAATTCTTAGCTGTATTGTGGTAACAATTGTAGATTTGTATAAGGGTGTGATCCAGGGCTCATGGATTTATTCGATTTTGTCACGAACAAACCAAATACCAAAAACAAAAACAGTGGTGGCTCAGGCAATAGAGCGCTCGCTTCTTGAAGAAATGACCCAAATTGAATCCCAGCAATGGCTGGTTGATACGAATTCTACAACCGGCTAGCACTGACCAGTGCTGACGCAAAATATCCTCAATAGTAAACGGATCATGGGGTAGAGTCTCCTCGCAGTTACACAAAAACTCAAGTCCTGGTTAGTTCCATCAAAAAGTCCTCCACGAAGGCAAATTTCTCCCAACACTTGATTCAAGAATTCCCTTGTCTTCTGAATTGGGTTCAAAACTACAAGGCTACGGAGTTAAACATTGGTGGCTACAAACTCAAAAACTGGGTCAGCTGTTCAACGACGATTGTAAAATATAAGATATAAATACCAAAATCAGTATTTGAAATATAGACTTTTTATTTGAAAAATCCAGATCCACAATAAGATTTTTTAATTAAAAATTTAAATATTGGGCCATCTCAATCCCAGTGAATTACATGCAGTAAATAGGTGTCTGAAGGTTACGAGATTTCATCATTCTCCACACTTTTCCTCTCTTGGTTACTATAATATCCGCAAAGGTTGCTTTTTCCGCATGCCAGTATATTCAAACTACTAACTGAAACTTATTGCCGTGAGGAAAAAAAAGCCAGTTATTTCATAACTATGGTAACGGAGAGGTAAAAAATGTGAGTAAGGAAAATCGTGAAACCTTTATTTTTTATTTACTTACGAACAGTATAGTGTAGGTGTCCTAGTATATCATAGAACTTTAGAACTGTTCCTTTTTTTTCGATCGGATGTTTGTCTCGAGATATTTGACCATTTCTCACACTTTCGAATACACTGAGTTCTAAAAGTTGTTCATTAAAACTGTTTGTCTTTCTAAATTCTCATTTAATTTTCAGTTGTGGCGACGAATGGTAATACTCCTGTGCTTCTCAGTTTTCTGTGTACTCGTGGGCTGTGCAATCTATGGAATTTACAGGTTGGCTGACTTTGTTGTCGAGGATGAGTTGAGAACAATTTATGCATTTGGTTTTCTGTTTTTCATCTTCTTTGCTGGACTGAGTTTCGTTCTCTGGTACCACGGATTTCATGATGCTGTCATGGATTTCATTTTTCCTATTGATGATAAGACATCTTCAGATACAAAGACGGCGAAAGGCATGGCTTCGAAAGATAAAAAGAAGTGATTGAATTAGAACATTTTGCTTCCCATTTAATGCTACATCGAACATAATGTTATACTATTTTACTTTCAATATTTTATTAAATTTTAATGAATTCAAGATTTTAATAATAAAATATTCTCAAGACTAGACATTCTTATTAATTTCGTCTGACTTAGATAGAGATAACTCTGGCTGGTAGAGCGCTGGGCCCATGTCCAACAGGTTGTGAGCTTGATTCCCGCTGTACAAAAGGGTGACTAGAGCGCGCTAGATCTATCGGGGTCACGAAGTCATTACAAACAGCAACCAATATAAATAAATTTTTTTGGGGATGAGAATACGAATCGTCCAATTAGGAATAAAATTACTTAAATTGATTATTTTACTAAAGTGATATAATTCAGCCTCTGGCTCGGACATCTCTAATTATATTTTACATTTTCTGTAATTAAAATTACAAGTTTTCACGAAAGTTAACTTTTTTGTTTCGAAGAAATAATTATAAAAATATAAGTTTCATTAAAAATAGCAAAAATTCTCGGAAACAATGGTGAACACGGATGCATGATGGTTTATTGTAGGTTCTCGTATAAACCATTATCCGTGGTGACCAATTACGTAAGGGTACCTTTCAGACAATAAAGGGATACATTGAATTTCAAACTTATTAATCTCCATTGAAATATGTTTCACTAAACCTATAAAAATATTTGAAAATTGAAAAACTAACTTCGTTTTTTAAAAACACGAACTTAAAATTCATAGTTTAATAACAAGGTTCAATACCAAAACATTTCAAAGAATAAAATGAAACAAAAATATTTAAAAATGTTAATAAATTCCGCAATAATTAAAGAAATAGCATTCATAGAATTCTTCATAGGTTGACATGGAGGCGAGTTCTGTATCGATCTGATGAAAGCCCTAGGCCAGGGATGGCGAACCAATGGCACGCGTGCCATTTATGGCACGCGGCACAATATTTTGGGCACTCCACCGATCACAATTGTTGTTACACTATGAATTGTTATTACACAAATGTTATTACGCTATGAAGCATATGTAACAATTAAATTAAAATTCACAAAAAACAAACAAAATATTAAACAATTATTAATAAAAAAATTAAAAATTAATGCTAAAAAACAATTAATAACCGTAAAAAACAAGCTAACAAGAAATAACTAGCAAAAAAAATCAACAGTCCTGCTTAAACTAACATCTTAGAACCTAATATAAGTTATTGGTCATCTAATCTGCAACAACAGAAGTCACATTGATGTTACTTTAATTGAATTACTTGTATAACTGAGACATTGCAAAATGTTTTATTTTTTCAATGTAAATAAAGAGTTTTGAGTTGATAGTATTTAGTATTATTATTTTCCCAATAATCACGAAGTCAAAATTATTTGACGGCACGTCTATGACCTCATTAAGCAATTTTTTAGAGAAAATAAAACGTTGGTGTATAAAGGTTCGCCACCCCTGCCCTAGGCAATGCGCCAATCTTGGGTAAAATATCTCCACCGATATTCTGCCGACTTTTGACGTCTCTTGAAATTAATGTTAACGCAAGAATAATTTCGCTGATTTCCAATGACCCCCTGTGTTAACATTTCGTCAATTCAGGCATTCACAGGCCAGATTCGTTTGCCACTTTTTCAGGGGTATATGTTTAGGTGGGCCATCGTTGCTCCCTCAGTAAGGACATATAGTACAGAGAATGAAAGAACGTCCATGCCTTGCCCAGGATTCGAACCCAGAACCTTTCTGATGCAAGGCCAGTTCCCTGGCCCCAACACAGTCCGGTCGGTGAGCAAAAATAATAGTAATTTGTTTGACACAGGGACTAATCCAAGAATCAGTTCGGTTTAGAAGTGATAATGTTGTTGAACCAATTTCTGGGAGTAGTATAGATGCAGGTTCTGTTATTCAACCCATCCGAACTGATCGCTTAATCTGAAGGCCTGGTTTCTTAGGACAGGACGCCGTCAGCTGGAAATCAGCGCTAACCTCTGATTGGTCCATTTGTGAGTTTGATAGTATACGTCATCGAACGCTCATCTTGAACTACACCCAGATAGCAATATAAGGTTTTTTTCACCCAACAAAAACCTTTTCATGTAAACCTAAAAAGGGTTTTTATACGGTTTACATGTAAACCCTCTAACCTTAANACATTGAAATCAGCCAAGATTTTGATTTTGACATTAAACATAGCTTCTTCATTAAACATAGCACTCTTCATTTAGCTCAGCGGTAATGTGTTTTTTCTTGGACAAAGTCATTATTTGTTCTCTAAAACACTGGTCGACAATAACAAAATCAATACAAATTCAAAATAAATATTTGTTTACGTTATTAACTCATGCGCAATGAGAGATAAGGTCTGCGTTGGGCCGACTGCTCACGCTGAGCTAACAAAAAAGTATTTTTATGGCGTCAGCTCTACGTCAACTTTCCGCTGACGCCCAGATAAGGCGCTTGTCCTAAGAAACCAGACCTTTAACCACTTAACTTTCAAGAAACATCAATGTAGGTTATACCAGGCAGTAGTAGCACTTAAATAAAATATCACTGTATGATATCTCAATTCGGAGATAGCTCTTTCTAATTCTTCATACAAAGAAAAACGTGATTCCACAGCAATCATGGCCACCATGATAATCAAAACTAAAACTAAATAGGAAAAAGCAGAACACATTCGTGATTAGTTAAAATTTGTTACTTACGACACAGAACACAGTAACCAAATGAATTTTTTTGAACCGACTGATTGGTGTAATAAATAAATATTGAACTGAAACCAGTTTATTCTGAACTAGATCAGCAAACTTACTATATAATCAAGTTCATAGTTGGATGTGTCTGTTATTGTTTGTAATGGTTCTGAAAATATCAAAATAATAATTCGGTTATCATTAGCATTACAAATCCCGTGCATTCTCCTACCATTTGCAAGTAAATAGTAAATAAAACAATTTTCCTAATTAAACTCATCCACCCAAACTTTTTAAAAATCCATTTTATTTAATCCACCATGTTTTGATAAATCAATAATCATGAAGTATCAGAGCAAGATTTCGGTTTGTACATGTCCAAAGCACATTTGTTGCTGCAAATCTCAAAATTTACATTTCATAGAAGATAAAACTGAAGATTCTTACAATTTATTTGATATCCTTGCACACAATAATATTTCTATTCCTCAAAAGCAGACGCCAATTAAAGTTTCAAAAGCGCCAAAAACTACTTATCGTCAGGATTATTATCCGAAATGCTTACAGACATGTAAAAAAGCTATTCCACCGTTTCCAGCTCTTTATGCATCGGATAAAAAGATGAGTCATAAAACTATTCATAAAACAGATTTCAAACCTTATTCCGAAAAAAGCAAAAAAGATTGTGTGGGAAGAATTGTGAAACCTGAAAATAATTTAGTTTGTTCACTAGGGAAATTTGGAGCTAAAAGTGAAACTAAGAGTTCTTATAAGAATCCAGCTTCTAAAAAAGGCTTAACTGGTAGCAAATCTCTTTTTCGAGAACAAAAGTTTTCTAATAAAGATAATATCTCTATTTCTGTAGACAAGTGCCAAGCACTATCTTCTGAGACGACATACTCATCAGCATACAAAGTGCCGAAAGGGTTCCAGAAAACTGAAATTTTTGTTCCAAAGTCTGACATGCACAAAGTTGATTCTTCGAAAGCTTACAAGGATATTTCTCAATACAGAAGTGATTTTAAAAGACCTAAAAACGTTAAAAAGTAAAAAAAAAATTAACATTATTTAATCTATATAAATTGTACAGAAAGCAAAGCAATAATGCAATAATACAAGGTGGGGTAATACCGTGTAAGCTAAGATTGGAAGGCTTGTTGGAGTTAAACTGTTCGACTTAAATCAACACTTACTAGAAGAAAGAAGGATCAATTTAGTAGTCCGATGTAACGAATTTAAACTACGCAGGTGAGGAGGGAATTACGAAAGATGTCACTACATTCGGACTATTAAGCTGCACATTTGTGGTAAATACGAAAGATGCCATTACGTTTGAACTACTAAAGGATCAAATTTCTTGCGCATGGTAGTGTCGAGGCCTTCTCCTTTCTGGGAGGTATTGCTTAGATACTGCCTGTTTTAACCAAGATATTTATTATTTAGTTGGGGACAATATATCATTCTCGAAAAGTTACAGATAGGCTACATTTTTTTCTTCTTCAAAAAGTCAAACCACCCGGTTTTACCCTACTAGAGAAGAAAAAATGGGCACACATGCTAACCCTATCAGAAATACAAGATTGTTAGGGGAAAAGTAGCAGACATTTTTGTTTTGAATGACAATTTAAGAAATTTATGCATGCAATTTAAATGAAATGTAGACAAGTCCGTTCTCAAGGGAGGTATTATATTGTGTAGTAATGTAAAGTAAGTAATGTATTCTTAGTAATGTAAAATTGTATCCTGGGACCCGACAAAAAATTTTTACAAAAAACATAGAGCTTATTAATTTTTTTAAAAAAAAGTACATAAAATTGCAAAGAATATCTTTATATCTGTATAAATATGAATGAAGGATCATTAAAAATCCTACAAAATATTAAAATAACATTTTTTGAGCTCTAATAAATTTTGTCCCTAGGCCCACAAAACCCTTGTATAGCCTTGGATGTAATTATCTTCTTCCTCTGCTGCACTGCAGCTTTCGTGGGTCCGGTATAGACACATATGGAGTGGGTCCGAGGTTATTGAAACGGAACAGAACTATTTAATTAAATCCTTATTGTTTGTTGAGATATGAGTCTTTAGCAACCGTATAATAAGCTGGACGAAAAATATTTTTTTATTGCTGTTATGATCAATAAATAAGGATGAACAAGAGAGCCATTAGAGATTTGACATAGTAAAACAAACCTCTCTGCACAGACACTGTGAATTAATGAACAGCAACACGCCAATAGGGTAGGTCCTTCTTGACCGTAAAAAATAATTTAGAGCTTTTTTGCTAGAAAACGGAAAAAATTTCGCCCCAATGGAGGTACCCAATTTTACCCTACAACCTAGTTTCACCCCATATTTCCCTAAATATCACTTCATTGTTCCGCTGTATCACGGGAAATTTTAAAGTGGACTGAAAATTTTCTTGGGGGAACAACGCAATATCAAAGTACTCTAAGGCAGCGGTTCCCAAATGGTGTTCCGTGGAATCCTAGGGTTTCTTAGAAGAGTAAAGGGGGTTCCAATAGTCAAGACTTTTTTTTAAGCATTTTTGAAATTTGTAATTATATTTAATTCCATTCAATAATGTACTATTTACTTATTATTTAATAATTTATATAAAATTTGCCTAACAACAATTATGTAAAATATAATAAAAACCCGCATTTATAAAAAATTACAGGAGTATTTGGCATTGCATTTTCCAAATCAAAATAAAATAGCTGAATTCTTTAATAAATAAATATGTTTCCCTAGTAATAATTTTAAACTTTTATAACAGTTCTTTTTTTAATTTTCTTTTTATTGCAATATAAAAACGAATTTTTAGCTAGACTAGATTCATCTCCAAGACTGCGAATTCAATTGTCGAACATAAAACCTAATTTAAGATTATTAATGAAAATAATTATTAATGAATATAATTAAGATGTTAAATATGTAAAAGTCTAAAAGTCAAAATAAAGTAGTCTTTTGATGTTTAATATGAACACAATGCTACTTCAAAATGAATGCCACTAAACGTTTACAATGATTGTCAGAACATTGTTTTTGCAAAACTAAAGCATCAATATTGTGCGAAATATTTGTATAGTTAAAGTAGACAAATATCCTTCAAATGCAGATTTGTCAAATGCGTTTTTGTTTTTGATTTTGTGCTCGTTGACGAAATATTCAATTTAGTTTTTCATAATTTTAGTCTTTGTAAAACATCCAACAGACTAAATTCGTCATTTTGTTTTATGAGCATCGTTATCAAATTTTGCCATTCTAGTTATCGTCTAAAATTATTTCATTTTGTGACTTTTAATGCAGACAGCGAGACATTTTTGTGTATTTGTGTTATCTAGGAAAAATTCCGGAAAATTATGAAGTACCTACCTGGGTGTAATACTAATGAACAGTTTTAAATAAAACCCTTACATTTAGAAAAAAAACTTAGTTTATTATTTTGTTCTCTCTAAAAGTATTACAAAAAAAAAATTTTTTTTTTTTCTTACACCTACAGCTTGTAAAGTATTAAAATTTTGCATTTCAGAGAATGCATTCGTAAAATTCAAAAATATTCTGCCCCAGATGAACCCATGGAAAACAAAACTACTTACAGAATGGATTATAAACCCAAGAAACCTACGGAAAAGAAGGCATGGGGAGATTTTTCAACTTATTCCAGTTGTGGCGCAGATGTTAACAGGTTATGTTGCCCTTGTATGCACAATGCTAGGATTTGTCAAGCAGCCTGTTGAAGAATTTGACAATCAGAATACGTCAAATTCAAGTTACAATAAGTCGAAGTGAAACAAGTGTTTTTTCTTTATAACGATTTAGAATGATGTGATATAAGATGAGCATTTAAATTTCTCATTGTCGTCCTCAATAAAGTTATTTATAGAATGCATATGCAAAGGTATTTATATATATATATATTTGTAATTATACGGAATGTGACAGAATATTAAGAATAAATAAACGACTTGTTTTTTTACAGGCGTTCCATTTTTTCTCCTTTCAAAAGTAATTACGATGCATACGGAATTCATGGAAGACGAATTTCTGTTAAATTTTCTACCTGTGAGGAAATAAATTTTGGTGAATGATAAATCGATTAAAATGCATCGATTACGTTATGTCCGATAAATTAGTGAATAGGTTTCATTTTGCGATCGTCTGACAAATTATTCAGTACAATACTTATATAAACTTCTTTTATAAAGTTATTAAAGTTCACTAATGTTTATTGTTTTAAATCATCCATTAATTAATCTACAATTACTCTTTCAGGTAAATAATTAAAATAAATTTAATTTGTGTTAAATTATTTCCAAATTTATATCCCATAAAAGACCGATGATTAGAAAAATCAATTTAAAAAAAAAAGAAGAGGGAAATGAGACAGAAATGATCGGCTTGCGGCGTTCTTCTTAAAACAGATAGATTTGCACTCGCCAATTTTCAAACTTGTTTAATAATTTTGCAGACAGGTGGCATTGTTAGCTATAGAGATACTATAGTACAATGTTTGTGCTGCACGTTAGAGAATTCCAACAAAAATATTTGCAAGCGCGTACATAAATTTTGTCTCCAGACAGCGCCATGTTGTGGCTAAAAATGGTTGTTATTTTAAAAACACTGTTTTATATAGCTGTACCTAGCAAGCAATGCCATCTTTTGACAAACTTTGTAACTAAATTTAGATCTTGGGTAAAATAAATTTTTTGGTTTCCTAAGCAAAATGCAGCAATCAATGTTTTTGATGCTATCTCCCACCGATTTTTTTAAAAATTAATCTTACAAATCATTTAGATTCAAACGCATTAAGATCATTTTTGGGACAACCCAAAGAAACAATAACACAAATTTAAATAATTTAATAACAAAAAAAGTGATAAAATTGATTTTGTTTCCTGAATTATTATAATAAAAGAACATAAAAGTGTTAAATCGCCAAACAAGAGAACAATTCTTTGAATCATCTGGGATTGGAATAAATAATCCACTTATGATCGATTTTTTAATCTGTTATAATATGAAAAATGATATTAGGACAGAAACGTTTACACATTTTATGTTTACAATTGTCTGCATAATCACCAAATATTTGCATAATTTTTATTAAGAAAAATCTCTGAGTTTCAAATAAAAGAAAAAGATGATTGTGAAAAAGTTGTGTACTGTTACAGCCAACTTTTCACAAAACAAAGTTTGAAGGAATATCCAGCTTCTGCACAAACTTCACTTCACTTTAATAATTGCTGTGGTGTTGAGTATAGACTTATTGTTAAAATCTTAACTGTAATAATAGAAAAATTAAATTAAAATATGGAAGAAAATGAAAAGTGATATTTCTTTTTTCAAATTCGGTCTCTCTCTCTCTCACCCCCCCAACTCAATTTAAATTATTTTCTATATTATCTGTAACAAGCTCATCTAATTTGTAAAATTGTCACATATTTTAAAAATATATAAATATTTCCGCACAATTCAACGGCCCTATTAATGTTAGCAGATACATTTTATTTTCTTAGCTACTAAAAAAGTTCTTTTTTTAAAATAAATAACCGAGTAACATTTGCAAAGTTTAGTGGTAATGAAAAAAAAATTATTTGTAGAAAAATACATTTTATATTTTGCTAGATCTTTAAATCTAGAAGAATCTAAGAAAAAGATTAATGAATCTAAGTAAATCGTTATACATTAAGTAAATTTGAGCCAGGATCGCCTGGTTGGTGGGGCGTTGGGCCCATGTCCAAGAGGCCGTGAGTTCTATCTCCACCGGCCAAAGACTCCCCTTGTAGTAAATGGTGACTGGTGTACGCTAAATCTGTCGGGTTGCAAAGTCCTTCATGCTCCCATAACAAGTCATACCCTCTGGGGCTACTGAATTGCAGATTGATCGTTACGAAAATTACGATCTGTGAATGGATGTATGAATGGGTCGTCTGGAGACTGAAGCTGGGTTTCCATCCCCTCTGCAGAAGATCAAAATTATTCTTGCATATCTTTGGATCATCCTCAGGGATGCTTCCCATACCGTCGCTAATACTCCATTGTGCAGCCCTAGTGCGACATAAATTAATTTCTACTACTACTTCTCAATGAATCAAATCTATCGCATTTTTGTTATAAAAAGCTCTTCGATTTTACCCTTTTTCATATGACAGTGACTAAAGGCAGAAAAATGTATTACCTTCGAAAAATTTAGTTGCAATAGCAGAAGGCTGATAACTTTCAAATCGCTATCAACACATTGTTTTGTACCTTGAATGATAGAATTTAACTGTGAAATAGAAACTTGTGACGTTCGAAATGTGTTGTGGCGGCTAACTCTAACTTCTTTCTCTCACATTCCCCCCCCCCCCNAAGACGTAGTTCCCATCAGATCCCCGAAGTCAAGCATCACTGGTTGCAGTCAGTGTACGGGTGGGTGACCACTTTGATCAGCCAGCGATGGGACCGAAGGTGCACGGTATCGGACCTCGTTCAACTCTTCTACCTTTAAGTGCTCGATTTTGCTCGCAGGTCTTCGGGCTACTAAAGCAGGGGAGCCATCCCCTCTGCAGAGGTTCGAAAATTGCGATCCTCCTCAGGGATGTTTCCCAGATCATCGCCTACAGCCCATTGTGCAGCTCTGGTGCGGCATCAATAAATTACCTACCTACCTACTTATCAGGGATGCCAAAGGTAGCTAAAAGTGTAAAAAGTGGTAGAATAATTTTATTCATTTAATTCATTTTTCATTATTTATTATCAATTTAATTAGTCAATCGTGACTGCGACTAAGACTTACATTTAAAATTATTCGCATTTAAAGCAGAAGGGGCCTCCCTGGCCGAGCGGTATCGCCGGTCCAAACGCTCTGTTAAGCGTGGAGGTAGCGGGTTCGAATCCCGCCGTAACCCTGGATGTATTCTTTGTGATGTCTTTCTCTTAATTGTTCTATCTGTATTTTCTACTTGACAATGACTTATAAGCCTATATATTGAGCACACAAGTCAGCAAATGTATGTAATTTCAATCAATCAATCAATCAAAGCAGAAGCTATGCATTTCGTATTCAAAGCTATGCACTCACTATCGATAGTAAACTAAGAATAATATGCTCTAAAATTTTAATCTCTTTTAATAAGGTTTGTGATTTTATTAGTGACCACTCTTTGCATTTTTAGTCGCCTGTGGCAACCCTCATTGACTACGGATGGTTGATGACTGAATGTAAACAATAACAACTTTCTAAAAACCGAAAGAAATTAAGAAAACTTCCGGTGTATTCCTCCGCTTATGTTATGCTTACGAGGCAATGTGTAAACTGGCCTAATATTCTAGGAAATTTTATTATTGTGATTTGCGTTTAAATTTACGCGCAATTTTACTATTCATAATAGTTTTCTGTAATTTTTAAATCCTAACAGGTCGTGAGACTAAAAAAAATTTAACAAAATTAATATCGCAGCATGAAAAAAAGTGTAAGGTTAGTCATGTTTTGAGTCTTATCCCGGATTTGACTATAATTGTGTGAAATAGCACAGTTTTTGGTTAGCATCATGGCAAGCTTGCGGAATCTTCCAAACTTATTTGTTTCGTGGAAAGTTAGATTGAAAGAACGCGTTCGTTATATTGGAAACACAACTGGTATAATAATATTGGATGGTGCGGTTTTTCATGCTAAGGCGTAAAAATGAGTCGGAAGTTGTAACTCGAAAGTTTTACGACGAATTTCAATCCCTAGCGCCATCTGCGCTTAGCATTACATGGTCAACTATCATAACAGAGCCGTGGTGGCTCAGGGGATAGAGCGCTCTCCTCCAAATGATGTGACCTGAACTCGATCTCAGCGATAGCTGTTTGATTCGAATTTCACACCCGGCAAGCATCGACCACAGTGCTGACGCAAAATATCATCAGTGGTAGGTGGATCACTGGTTAGAGTCCCCTTGCTGCTGACTGATAAGGTCTGGCCTGGAAAGCACCAAGCATTCAAGATCGAGCCGTGGTGGATCAGGGGATAGAGGGAAGCTTTCGTAGTTTTCCTCTCCATGTAACGCAAATGCAAGTTAGTTCCATCAAAAAGTCCTCCACGAAGTTCCCATGTCTTCTGGATTATGTTCAAAATACAAGGCTACGGAGTTGGACATTAGTAGCCGTAAACCTTAAGTTGGGTCGGTTGTTCAACGACGGTTATAAAATTTTAAAAAATTATCCATAACAGTGTTTCTAACCCTGGGGGTTATCTACTTCTTCATCTGAGAATATTAAGGGATAAAAGGTGAGAATTGATAGCAAAAGTCTAACTTTGGATTTAGGAATGTTCATAAGTAAGTTGCGAAATCTAAGAGTTGAAACACATGCGATAATAAATGCAGTAGAAGATCTAATACATACAAGAGAAAGAAACAAAACACTGATACATTTTTCTTTTCTAAATGAAAAATGTATTACTGAATTATAGTATATGTTACCGGCAAAGTATGAAATCCGGCCTTGTACAGAATGCCTAAAACTATCCGGCAAAGTATGAAATGATTTATATTTCACACATTGCCTAGGCACTCTATAGAATGCCGAATGAAAAACCGGCAAAGTATGAAATAAACGTCCTGATTATGTAAATGATGTGCATGTTACTGTGAATGACCGAAATCGGTGGTTGTTGACTTTCACCAGTGAATGTTGACAATCACATAGTCGCTTTGGTGAATGTCCGAAATATTTATTACATCCGATTTGATATTAATTTATTCGTGGATATAATTACATTTATTCGATATTTTAATACTTACTGACGATAGATTAGAAGAAGCATCAGTGTTTGGAGTATCGGGCAAATATATACCGGGCAATGGCACTTGACCTTAAAAAAACATCAGTGTAGGGTATATCGGGCAGTGGCACTTGAGCTTAAAAAAACAT